GCAGGATTTTCATTATTTTTCAGCGGGCGGTCGGTCTCGGGTCCGCGAGCCAGCGAACCGGCCCTCGAATAATGGGATCCGGTATTAAATTCGGGAACGCGGCGGCCGCGTAAATTGCGAGCGATTTTATCCCCGGTATAATCGAGTAAACAGTAGACGGGATGGACACGCACGCCCACCGCCGGCGCGAAACACTGCGAGCAGTGTTTAATGGAGATTTCATGGAGATTTTTATTGTCTTCGATGAGCGCTTCTTGCTGTTCAGTCGTCGGATCGGGGGACTCCTCGATGGGACTGTAGGAATGGGAGTGACCTTCCGATTCGAAGGGATAAATTGGATTCCGATGAACTGCGAGAAGAATTGTGAAATTTAATGTTAACGGTTTGTCGGATATGAATGGGTTGGAGTGTTAGAGTGTATGAATTGTTGATAGAGGGAAAAGGAAATGATTAAACCGTTGAATGCCGCACGATTTCATGGTACAAAGTACTTGAAATGGTAAAAATATGATATTAAATCATTCGATTGAACTGCATTGTTATTATTGCGGGTTCATCTAGCCGAATGTCACCACGTTAGTTAGCATTATTTATAATATAGAAATGTTTTCAAATAATCATAGTTTAATTGAGTGAACCATAGTAATTCGATTTAATTGGGGGTCACCGGTGACCACATGGCATTCAACGTGTTAAGAAGAGATATGTAGTCGTTATAAGTGAAAAGTATTCAATGAAAGATTGTTAAATATTTGGGAAATGTTGAATTTTTAGAGATTACTAATGCACTTTGCGAACATAGATTTGTGAAATTTAATGATAATGGCTTATTGGATATGTTAAATGGTTTCTTGAGTGTAGAGTGTATGAACTATTGTTGATAGCTCGAAGAGAAAAGGAAAATGGCGAAGAGATTCTATGTTAATCATTATAAGAGAGAAGTATTTACTGGGAAATTGAAGGATAATGAAATATCTGGGAAATGTTAAATTATTAGAGATTACTAATGTCATTTGTGAACATAGATTTGTCACGTTTACAAGTAGAAATATATAAACTGAAAGTAGAGCACGCTGAAGCACAGAGAACAATGGAGTCTAGTGCTCTTTGATTGAATTATAACTGACGGAAGGTCTCAAGTTAAAGACACCCGAAAACTTTCGAAGACGCGATACCCCGGAAGCTCGTATAAACGTGCGATCCCCTGAAATTTTAATGGATTCGGTAGCGAGCGCGTTAAACAGGCCATAAACGCGTGGATATACTTAAACATTTGCGGTTCGATAATCGCCGACAAGCTTCCACGGGTATCCGCGGCGATAAATGCCTTTGAGGATTGACTGGTAATCATTGTTCGACGCGTTTAATGGCGTAGCCGGCGAATGAAAGATGAACAA